AATTTTGAAGAAACTTCAAATCAATTTTGGTGATGCAGGGGAGTTCAAATAGGTAATCCATTTTAGATAATAGGGTTTCATATTTGGGTATTAAGGTTTCGATTTTGGGTTTTGTTCTTGGTGATGCGTCGAAGTCGAGAGAGATGAGGAGAGAAGCAACAATTTTGCAAAGGAGATGTAGGGTTTCAGTTTCAGAAAGAGATGTAGGTTTCAATCTTGGAAAAGAGATGCAAGTTTCGATCTCTGGAAGAAGATGCAGGTTTTGATTTTCAGAAACAGATGGAAGTTTTGATCTCTGGAACAACTGCAGATCTCAATCTCTGGAAGGAGATGAAGGTTTCGATCTGGAAAAACTATACGAAGGTTTCGATCTGGAAGAACTATACGAAGGTTTCGATCTGGAAGAACTATACGAAGGTTTCGATCTGCAAGGCTTTTTTTTTATTCCAGGGGTAGGGAAGGTAAACTTTATGGCTGAACGGGGACAAGTGAGCCTACCCAACTGTGCGAATAAGCTGGTATGTTTTCAATTAAGCCATAAGTAAACACTTCATTATGGATGTGCGAATAAGTCGGTTGAACTATTAAAGCCCATTAAGTCACAAATAAACAGCCCCCAAGTCTATACATGTATGTATGTATATGTATATATATATATATATAGAGGTTCAAAATGCATAAAATAACAACCTGCTTTTATATTAAAACAAAAAACAAATATCACGTTACAGAAAAAGATAAAAAAAAAAAAAACAAATATCGCATTACAAAAACCACATATTAGGCATGGCGTGCCACATGCAAAAGTATGGCGCAACACAACTATTGTTGTAGTGGACTTTTTAGAAAAGTGGTAATAAAGCATTTTGATTTTCGTTACTCCAATTTTCATCCATTTTTGCTAAGCCAATCGAACTCAACTGTATTAGCATTGTTATAAACTTATATTTCATCCCATAAAACAAAATTATAGATAAAACAGTCTGTAAATGAAACAGGTTAAATAATTAATCCACTTATTTCTTTCTTCAGTTTACTTGAAAACGAAGAGATAGAAGCATACAGGGTATAAGGCGCAAATACTAAAATATCAGTTACTTAGGATGTAAGGCGGTGTTTACCTACTACTGATTCGATAAGTACTATTGATTATGTCAATATGTTTACCTAAGGACTTATCTGACTCAAGGGGCTGATTTAATACCTAACATTATTATTTCACTACTTTTTTTTGAAGTATATAATATTTGTATACAACAAATAGAACAAATAAACTCACACACCCTCCTCACATTTAGTGAAATTTGCACATCTGATCTTCTAAGAGGCCAAAGACTCACATACCATTAGGTCAAAGACTATTTGGTTTATTTCACTACTTTCAAGGCATACTAATTTCAGTTCAATCAACATTTAATTGACCTTTAAAAAGATAACATTTAATCATATAAACGATTAGACCATCTCAAATGGGCACGGCAAATTTGGTGTAGTGAATAATAACAGACCAAACTAGTGTTCGACACCGTACGTTGCAGCGTGATCAAAACTCAATCTAAAAACTTAATAAATAAAAAATCAAAAGTAATTTCCGGTCAATATTTATTCAAACCAAATATTTTATTTAACCTGATATTCTTATTGAGTTAGGAGGTGTTTGGGTTTGCTTATTTGAAACGACTTAGGAGTTGTTTGTTTGCCTCTTAATAGTTTCATTAAGAGATAATATCTGAATCATTAAGAGGTGAATCTTGTTTGGCAAAAAAAAAAAAAAGTCTGCCTCCTAATGGTTCTAAAACTCTCTGAATGATTTTGTATCTTGAATCTTCCTTTACCATTAAGAGTCATAATTTTATTGTACATAATTACCAAACAATTATATTTTATTTTGCACTATATCATGAGAGCCTTTTAATCATTTTGACCACTTAATCATTTTGCACAAAACAATTCAGCAATTGCCAAACAACGCTTTATGCTTTATACAAAAAATATTTACCAACTTATTATAAGTCAGAAGGGTTTAACTTATTAAAAAACTTCTTATTGTCGGTTTGACACCAATATAAGTTATTTATCCAAACACATAAAGTGTTTATTACCGGTGTCACACCGAAACAAGTCAATAAATTGTTTTTATAAACAATCTCAAACATCCCCTTAGTATATTTGATTTGTATCGATAATCGAGCCTAAAAACCAAACTACCTTAAAAAAAAAAACCGTAGGAGGTGGAAAGAAACCTAATCTTGAAGGCAAAGAATTTGAGTAATTTCCAAAAGAATCAAAAGGGTGTCTAAATCGTGGATCAATCTTCTCACCATGAGAATATGCCCATTTGCCCGTTTATAGAAATTGGTCAATTTATGACATCCATTGTTAACCTTGAAGACTCTTCTACATCCCAATCCCGACACTCAACCCAAAGTCCAAAAATTGAACCCAATTTTAAACATAAAAAACTGCACAAACAATCTCTAGATATCATCGCCTATATCTATCTCTCTATACCAACTCCTTTCAAAGCGAAAAACCAAAGGGAAATTCGGTTATACAACAAGGAGGTTGCTGGATTTCGTTTCATTTGAAGCATCAAAATGAAGTCAAATTGTTCTAGTTTGACGAATCTGTGAAGGAATTCTTGGATTCTTCTTGCGATTTCAGTTTATTGGATCATTCCCTCTTCTGGGTTGAGGTAGTTATTTGAAATCATCAACTTTGATTCATGATTTCAGGAGTTTAATGCACTTGGAAATACACTTCTTGTTTGTCGTCAATGGCGTTTATTTGATTATTAGATGTTCATTTCAATACTTCTGTTCGCATTTTCGGTGAATTTCTGTAGATTTTGCATCAATTCTGATGGGTTTCGTTTATTTTTGTAGTTAACTTCATTCGGTTTGATGAGTTTGCAAGTTTCAACATGGGTTCTTGAATTCTTTTAAAGTTTCAGTTCATTGTATAATTTCTGATTTGGGTTTCTGAGCTTATGAACATAGTTCTTGTTTTTAGGGTTTTAATGCGCTCAATTATACTTCTTATCTGATCATCATAGATTCATAGTCTTTATATATATCGCATATTTTCTTTTAATTCCTGTATATTTTGTATTAAATCTCATCTGGGTTTCTTGAATTCTTTATGAAATGCATCTTGATTTCTTGTTTTTAGGGTTTTAGTTCACTCAAGAGTATACCTCTGCTTGTTTGAATGGTGGGTCTTCAAATTCCAATACATATTGCATCAATTCTCATCTGGGTTTCTGTATGATTGTTGTTATGAGGGTTTTAATGCACTTTAATTTGATAAATGTGGTTTTGATCATGTAATTATTTTAAAAAATTGTGGTGTGCAGATTTCTTGATCTAGACAGTAGTACAAGAAGTTGGAAGTTCAAACATTTTGGAGGATTTGGAATAATCCAAATTGGTTCTGTGAGAATATTTAATTCATTTTGGAACGATAGAAGTTTTCGGGTGTTCGATTTCATGGTTAATAGCATAAAAGATTGTCGGGTTTTGATGAACTGAAATCAAGAATCGATAACCATTCGGTTTTTGGAATTTAGGGTTTTTTTAGAGAAAGATCAGATGATAAGTAGAGTTGGAAGTTACCTTTCTCAAAGTGTATATTCTGTTGCCACCCCATTTCATCCGTTTGGTGGGGCCGTTGACATAATTGCCGTTCAACAACAAGATGGATCTTTTAGGAGCACCCCTTGGTACGTTAGGTTCGGGAAATTTCAGGGTGTTCTTAAAGGGGCGGAAAAGATAGTTAAAATAGAAGTTAATGGGGTTTTAGCTGATTTCCATATGTATCTTGATAATTCAGGTGAAGCTTATTTCATTAAGGAGGTTGCCCCTGATAAAGATAACAACACTGTTAAGGATTCTAACGGTTTATTAGAGTCTAGAGAAGATGATTCCAACCACTCTAAGAATGACATTAAAAACACTAGCGTAGAGGTTCAGTTTCGTGATGATAATGCGGAGAGTACGGAATCCGATAGTGAAAAAAGATTTTATGAACTTCAAGATGAACAATCGTCGTCTCTAGATGATGATTTAGAGTTATCAGATTATGGGTCTAATCGGTTTGAAAATTTAGACGGTGTGGATCATTATGTGGAATCACAAAATCTGAGTTCGGAAGTGGTTTTGTTCAGCATCGATGGTCAGATTTTGTCGGCTCCCATTACGTCCATGGAAGAAAATACGGAGAATGTGCAATTAAGCACACCTCAGTTCCATTTGGGACCGATTGAAGGACCTGAATTCGAAGGTGATTTGGAGTTCAGTAATGAATCTACGTGGGCTCATTATTTAAGCGATTTAAACAAACCGAAAGACAAATGTAGCGATAAAAATGTCTCCATGATTAACGATGCTCAAAGTGTAGTGAGTTTAGAGCGAGAATTATCTATAAAAGGTGAAGATGCGAATGGTGATGTTAAGAAAGATGTTTTTAAGAGCTGTTTGGCACTAAATGATTTGGGAATGCAAGAAGATAGCGCCATTCGTGAAGTAGATGTCGAAGGATTGCAAGAAGTGAGTGAAACTGAAGAGGGGGTATCTTCAAAGTCCGAAAGCTCCAAAAAGGTCGATTCTTTAAATTCAGTGGATAATGAAAACGGACTTTCTGATGTTGCAATTGTTAGTGATCAAGATCGGGTAGAACCCTCTACTGACGGGGTTGAAAATAGTCCAAAAGAACCGGAAACCGAAGATGGGTGCACGACAACTACAAGCATAACTGAGGAGCCTCAATCGTATTCCAATGATAACGAAAAATTTGATGGGCCAAAACGCACAAGTAAGTATTTGGCGTAAAATGCAACTAAGTTCGGTTTGGTTCCTACTTAGTGCTGTTTGTTAGCAGCTTAATGAGACTCACAGCTCATTCGATCAGCTATACATGACTCTTTGATAGTGGCTTAATGATATAGAAAGTGGCTTATTCAATAAGATTCTAGGGGGGGATCTTTAAGCAGAAAGGCCAAGTTTTTTCCAAACCTGCCCCTCCTAATAAAAATCACGCTCCTGCCATATATATGAAAAAGTCTTCCCAAACAAAAACCTTCTCGATCTTATACAGACAAATTAATCCACATGGATAACTTCATCCATAGTGCAACTAAGAATTTTTTCCCCGGAAGTTTCAAAATTTCATGTCTTGTATCCGTTTAACCCGCAGAATAACTTGCTGATTTTGTAACATATGATGACGTGGATACTTGTTTATGAATATTTACGACAAAGTGGACGAAAAACTTGGAATTCACGTCATCAAATGCTACATTAAGTAGGAAATTTGAAACTTTTTGCTACATTAAATAGGAAATTTTGAAACTTTGTTATATTGACTGTGACAAAAAATTCTTGGTTACACTAGATAAAAAACCAAGACAAACTTCGTTGCATTTTGATGCATTTTGCTTCAAATGGTACTGAATTGAATGGCTGATATTTGATATTAACATAATGACTTAAATCGATCTTTCAGGGATAGAAATATCACTTTGTGGGAATTTGCTTCAAGCTGGTATGGGGTTGAATGCAGCTGCTGAATCTTTTGACGCCCACCGTATACCTGAGGAGGAATTTCGAATTTCTGCAGCATCAATCGTAAAAAACGACAGTTTAGTGGTCAGAATCGAAGATAGATACTTTACGTGGGATAAAGCTGCTCATATTGTTCTTGGAATGGCTGCATACGGTTTAGAAATGCCGGTTGAGCCAAGGGATGCGATTCCCGTGGAGTGGAATGGGCTTACGGAAGACACTGGGCTGCCATCGACTCCATCTGGTCGTAGATGGAGGCTGTGGCCCATTCCGTTCAGAAGGGTTAAGACACTTGAGCACAATGCGAGTAACATTTCCAGCGAGGATGTTTTTCTTGATTCCGAATCTGTCTTTGAATCCCCACGACCGGCGGAAACGATGACTCCAACTTCATCGCAATCTCCTCAGAAGCAATTTATTAGGACACAAGTTCCCACTACTGAGCAAATATCTTCGTTGAATTTAAAAGATGGGCAAAATATGGTGTCTTTTATTTTTTCGACCAGGGTTTTGGGAGTTCAAAAGGTTCGTCTTTCTATTTGCTTTATTCACTCCTTTGTGACCAAAAGGTCACACGATCGAGTCATGAAGTAGTCTCTTCGCAAAATGCAAGAGAACAACCACCCATAAATATATTCCCTTCTCGAGCCTTGCAAATCCGAGCTTTGGTACACAAAGCTCTCTTTCTAAAGATGAGAGGCGCAATTTGACTTTTGGGGTCAAAACTGGTGTGCAAAAAGGCACAAGATGTGTCTCTATCGTTACAATAAGGCCTATAGCGTTTCTGTAAGGCTGGGCTCACGTCATGGCGCACTGTGGCGTGCTTTTTTTTTTCAAGGCGTGATTCTTTTTCACATTTATTTTAAACTTTTGTGTTCTTACATTTTTAATCTTAGATTTATTCTTCTATAGATTTATCTCATCACAACGAATTTATACACGTTATGGACTCACGATTAAAACGAAGTTTTAAAATTACCCTTCTAAGTCCTATTTTGAATATTTAATCAAAGACTACTTTTATAATAGTAATCTATGTGATTTTTCTTCTTCTAATATGAATATAAATTTTTTAATACATTATCTAATTGAATAATATATATACAAGATATATGTGTATATATATATATATATATAATTCTATATATGACATACAAATTTGCTGCCTTATGTCACGCCTTGAAAAACGGCGCATCCTCGCCGTGGCGCATAAGGCTTGAGGCTTGACCTCGCCGCCACACGTCTCATGCCATTTTGAACCTTGGTCAAAACATACTACATTCAAATAGTGAATGATGTGAATTTTGTACCATAACAACAATTTTTTTCTTGTAGTATGCATCAATTTGGACATGAAATATACTCCCTTTGTTCCAAAATAAGTGCCAATATTTATATTATTAAGGTAAAATTGTCATTTGGTTGCTTAAAAAGTGTACGCCTTTTTTATTGTGGACAATTATTTTGGGATGGGGGTATGTTTGACCACAAAAGTAAAAATGTGCCTCTTTTATTCTTCTCCTCTGCTTTGGTTTTTTACCTAAACCAAACGAACCCAGTAAACCCCGCACACAGAGATAGGGCTCGTGGGGGTAGGACTAGGAGGTCTCGTGGGGGTAGGAGGTATGCGAACCTTGTTTGCAAACTTTGGTTTCCTACCTTACTATATCTAAATCTCCCGATATTTAATGTAGGTTGATGCTCATATTTACCTGTGGAAGTGGAATGCAAGAATCGTGATATCAGATGTTGATGGGACGATCACCAAGTATGATCTATCATGTTTTTCATCCAATAACTCACTTTCATGTCGCTCAATGATGTATGCTATTTTGTAGGTCTGATGTTCTTGGTCAGTTCATGCCGTTAGTTGGGAAAGATTGGACTCAATCTGGGGTAGCTCGACTCTTCTCTGCTATAAAGGTATACCCTTCATATTTTTCTTCAAGATTACTTTTAATATTTGCACACAAATATATTTCTAGATGGGGAATTAGTCGTGACGTGTTCTCATGTGGGTATTTTTTATGCCAACTTGTTAGGCCGTTTAACATTCAATATCTTCATTTTTATACGAGTGTGGGTCCTAGGGGGGCAGTTCATTTGAGAACTGGAGAACCTGTATATTCATTGATGCATATGTGCTTGCATGCAAGTAGATATGAATTGATGAATATATTCATTGATGAAACACATATCTTTATAGTGTATATGAACCTATGTTGTTTCGTACCATTCTCTTGATCCAATTTTCGATTGGTTTTATTCATCTCTATTATACACAATTAACAATTCAAATTAAAATTTAGTTATTTTTTGGACTTGCAGGAGAACGGATATCAACTACTTTTTCTAAGTGCTCGTGCGATCGTTCAAGCATATCTGACAAGAAGCTTTCTACTTAATCTCAAGCAGGTATGTCATGCGGAAATTTGTAATTATTTTTATTATCCAAATACAATTTAGGCCTTCATGTCATACATTTGCCTTAATTTCGTTAAAAAGTGGCTTAGAGATAGATGATTTTCGAAGGTTGTACGCCCTTTGTCCAAATAACCGAAACAATCTCCTTTTGGCACTTGTTTCAATCTAGTATACTCCGTCGGTCACGTAATAAGTGTCCATATTTCCATTTAGTTTGTCCCAAAATAAGCGTTCACTTTCCAAAAATTCATTACTCGCTCTATTATCAAGGGTAAAATTGTCATTTAGTTAAATTAAAAAGAGTAATAATTACACATTTCTAAAACCGTGTGTCTTTTTCATTGTGGGCATTTATTTTGGGACAGACGGAGTATTTTTTCTATTTTGTCACTATGGGGGGTATTTTAGAGATCCCAATTATAGTCAAACAATGTCCTTAAACTATGTAGCAAGTCAAACATTCTCTTTATTTGAGAAATTTATGTTTGATCAATGGTCAAACTACTTATATTGTACGACGATAGAGCTGAATGTTGCGATTTTCACGGGACCTATGGAGCAATCGGGATCGTTAATTGTTATGTTTACCATATGGAAACATCTAAATGTGTAGATAAACCATCAAGCATTTGATTTTTGTAGGATGGAAAAGCTTTACCTAATGGTCCGGTTGTTATTTCACCCGATGGCTTATTTCCCTCGTTGTTCCGTGAAGGTGAGTGCATACTTACTAATAAGTTTCGGATGATAAACTATGATAACCAGTAGAAATGGGCCAAATTGGGCCTGGCCCGCCCAGGACCGATATGGCCCGACGGTCCGGGACCGGTTACACTTTTTATGGAATTTCAAGGCAAGGCCTGGGACCGGCCCGATTTAAAAAAAATTAAGTTTTTATAAATTATAATGCAAATTTTTAAAGATTTTCAAGTTTTTTCAAGATTTTATCTACTTAAATTTATTATTTAAAGTGTATTTCAATACTAAATTTCAAAAAAATCGTAAAAAACATGTATAACATTTTTGTGTAAAAAAGATTTAAAAAATATTTTTTTAAATTGGGCCGGGCCTGGGACTGGAGACCTGTAACTGGGCCTAGCCTGGTTGTAGGATTTTTTTTGGGGATCGGGACCGGTCGGCACGATTTTGAAGGGACCTATTTGGGAAGGCCCGGCCCGGGACCGATTTTTGGCTGTCTCGAAATACCAGTATTGACTCGGTAGCCTTGATCTGACTGAGGATGCTGATCTGAGCACCTACCCAGTCAGCATTATTATTTCACTTACCGGGTCAGCACAAGATGATAAAGGTATTTTATCAGTAAGCACTTGCTACAAAACACTTGGTAAACAACCATTTCCAGTCAGTGCTTATCGAGACTTGACCTCTTACCTAGACCGCATTCTTATGCGGTTAGCGCTTACCCAATTTGTGTCGGTAAATGGCCCCTCACGAGATTCTATCTTGTTATCTAATGTGTGTTGTTTGCTCCATGAATCAAACCGAATAGTACGGTTTTCGACAACTATAATGCTTGTTTGTTTCTTTGTTAACGCAGTTATCAGAAGAGCACCTCATGAATTCAAGATTGCGTGTTTAGAAGTAAGTATAATGGATCTAACGATTAAGTTCGTTCTACTGGATTACGCATGTTCTGTGTCGGGATTTGGGTTCGGTCTCGTTAAATTAAAAGGTTAAAATATTTTCCGCAGGATATCAAAGCACTTTTTCCGGCCGACTACAATCCGTTCTATGCGGGGTTTGGTAACAGAGATACCGACGAGCTTTCTTACAGGAAAATGGGGATTCCGAAGGGCAAAATCTTCATAATTAATCCTAAGGTACTTGTTTTCGTGGTAAACATTCCCTCCGTCCCAAAATGAATGTTGACGATAACAAAAGGCACACAATTTTAGAAATGTGTAATATTTTTGATTAATAAATGACAATTATACCCTTAATAACAAAGTGAGTAATGAATTTCTCCATCTCATAATCAAGGGTTGAATTGGAAAGTAGACAATTACTTTTGAAAGTTGACACGTCTCAAAATAAGCGTCCATAATGAAAAAGGCACACATTACGCTTTTTTATTAGTAAATGGCAATTTCACCCTTAATAACAAAACAAATAATGAATTTCTCCATCTCATAATTAAGGGTAAAATTGGAAAGTAGACAATTACTTTTGAAACAGGTCTCAAGATAAGCGTCCCTAATTTCTCTTAACGGGTCGGGTCCTCCATGGCAGTTCGGTTTCTTTATCCGTCTTTAATTCTCGTTTGAAATACCAGGGTGAGGTGGCCATTAGTCATCGTATCGACATGAAAGGGAAGTCTTACACCTCTTTGCATACGTTAGTCAACGACATGTTCCCCCCGACATCGATGGTCGAGCAGGTTCTCTTGTCGAATTCCCGTCTCAGAAAGTTCACAGTTTCTTGTACGTTAAGATGACTCGTAAACTTTGATTCGGAAACTTTTTGCAGGAGGATTATAACTCGTGGAATTATTGGAGAATGCCGTTGCCGGATGTTGATTTGTAGTAGTTTCGTGCACAGAATCGATGCGGGTTAGGCGGCTTGTCGTTTGTGTAGACTCGAGGTAGTTACATTGGTGGGAATCGTTCATGAGAATAGGCGTAACTTGTAACCGATTGATCGATCGAGTTTTGGAAGCTCTTGTAGTTTCTCCCGTTGTTACAGAGCGTCGGGCATGGTTCATATGGTGACGGGATTCAACGAACCGATCTGGTAGTTTTTCGTTTGTAAATCGACTTTAGTTGATGAAACTTGGGTACTTATAAACTGTTGGAATGTTTCTAAACCAACATTATAAACAAGCAAATAAAAGGGTTTTTCATTTTCTATTGAGGTTTGTATGGATCAACTCGTATGTATGGATTAAGCCTAAGGGGTCGTTTACCCAAATGCTTACCCGATAAGCGCTTACTAATAGAAGTCAACACTATAATCTATTTTGATGTGTATTTATTACATCAAAACATATCAAATGCAACAATTTACTAGGTAAGCGCTTACCTGGTTAAGAGTCGTCATCCTCACTTACCGGGTAAATCCTTCTCATCGCTCTTATCAGGGAATATTCTTGACCCTTCTCATATTCATCCAATAAGGAAATTTATACAATAAGCACTTACCAAATAAGCGTTTAGTAAACGCCCCCTAAGAGTTGTTCGGCCCACTAGATCCGTCCTGTTCAGCTTGCTAGAAAAGCGGGTCTGGATTACCATTTTGAAGAAAAATGGACGGGCTGAACTACTTGCAATCCTTCAACATCTGCTTCACGATCAACATGGGAATGAGTCCCGACTCGTCGGGGAACCCTGCCCCCGTCGGGGATGGGGATGGGGATTCCCGCTTGTCTCAAATCGGGGATGGGGATGGGGACGAGTATCGTATTCACCGCCCCGCCCCGTACCCCGTTATATATATTAAACAATATATATATATATATATATATATATATATATATATTATTTCAACTAAAGCGGTAATTCATAATTTTTTGTTTCCTAACTAGGTTTATAATCTAAAATTGTTATTTTTCGGACGTCAATATGTAATGTTTTGGATGTCAAGTCAAAATACAATTACTCGATAAGTTTTGTACATCACTCGATATGGTTTTATATTACTCAATATCTTTTCGTACATGTAACTTTAAGTTTTTTTTTGGTTTTAGGTTACTAATTCTTATATGATGTTGTACTTTTTTTGTATTAAATTAAATTAATTTTGGTTTTAGATTTATTGAAAATGTTTGAGATTTAAACATGTATAGTCTCTTACATATTTAATTTAAAATAACTTACATAAACGGAAAAAGAAAATCCCTTTTTTCTAGTTGGGGATCTCCGTTTCCCGTTGGGGATGGGAACGGGGAAAGAGATAAGTAATCGGGGACGGGGATTGAGGTCCCTTATTTAACGTTTTTTAACGGTTGTTAGAAGTATTGACCAAATATGGACGCTTTTGCGGACTATGTTTGCCGTCTTGTAGTTTCAAAATTACAAGGACCAAAAGTGTTCTCACAAACCACAGGGACCAAATTTGTAGTTTATTCTATTATTGAGGGCAAATCAGTAAATAAAGTAAAACGAAAGCGAAATGGAAGGCAAACGAGCCGTACGAACCAACAAAACGTTCGACTTTTTCCAATTTTTACTCGACAAATTATTCCGCCACCACTCTCCGCCATCCTCCTCCGTTCTCCGCCACAGAAAAAAAAAAAAATCCAATTCTTGCTCCTTCGCATGTAATTTCGATCGAGGTGGTAGAAGGTCGTGTTGATGTCATGGATAAGGTCGGCGATGCACAGAGCTGCCGAAGCACGCGGCGGCTCCAAATTCAGAGCCGCTGTACGTACTTACACCGACACCGTCGTCCAGCATGCCGGTTATTCCGTTTCCGAGGCCTCCAAGATGTTTCAAGATCGCACTGTACCTACTGACCTATTTCCTCTTTCTTCCTCAAATCCTCGTGCATGCTACGATATTTTTGTTCATTCTTATAAGTAAACACACTTTTTGATAGAAACGTAAAAAGTCAGGAGAACTGTTGTTGTCTTCAGAGTTCAGGCGTAAATCACCACAAATCGCTATGAATATATTTACTGCAAGAATCTCATTGATGTCGGTAGAATATGTGGAAGATGGGGATTATCTTTACCTCATTGTGCTGATATATTTTATTACTTGATTGAAACTGATGCTTGCGTGGTAATTTGATCCAAACATCTGATACCTCTGTAGCTATCACTATAAATAAGCAACATGAAAGTACTTGTGTTAAATGTTCAATAAGTTTACATTGTGGCTTTTGAAAGTTGATGTTTATAAAAGTTGTATTGTTAATTTTTAGAAATAGGTATACTGTGGAGTTAAGGTAGTATCTTCCCCCCTGATAGCTTAAATGGTTGTTTCATTGATGTAGTTATTCTTGTATGCACCTGGGCCTAACCGAAGCATTTAATTTATCAGCCAGGTTTTGCTACATCTGATATCTAGCTAGGGCCTGCATTTGGATGATCTTGTTTTTCTGTTCACGTATACTGATCTCGCAAAATTTTCGTTCCCAATATCAATTTGGAAAATAATTGGAAGCCAAAACACCAAAATGTGTACACTAATGCACTATTCTACATCACATTTTGGGGGGGGGGGTTAGGCCAACATAATTACCTTTTTGCTCAACTTCTACATATTCAGTTCCATGTTTCATCTCCTCACTTTCACAAAATATTATTTCTTCTGTGTCCAGTGAACGAGGTTAGCCCATCCTGGTTGCCAACTTATGGCCACTTGCTCTCATTTTCATTTCATGTCCACCGTCTTGTCTAATCATTTATTAGTTTTTGTAGTTGCAGCATTAGTAATGCAATGAAAGGATACATTACTGTCATTGTTATCCCAAAAGCAGGTTACTCGGAACATGAAAAGTTTTAGTGATGCAGCTAAAACGCTTGAAGAAGTTTCTGTTTCTTGTAAAGGGGAAGAAAGAGTTCAGTTGCTTAAAAGGTGGTTAGTTGCTCTAAGAGATTTTGAAAGACTTGATGGAGGTCTAGTTGATGATGATGGGAAAAGTTATGAGGATCCTTATATGTCAAATGATAAGAATATTACTCCTGAGAAGCCAACTACGGTAAGTGAGAAGAGGAACCACTTTTTGTCATTCTATTGTTTTCATTGTGTTCCTCACTGCATTTACTTGTGATTTTGTGTATGTTTAGGTTTGTTTGAATGTTAGACATAGTCTTACACCATCTAGGGCTGAGATCAACTCTCTGTTTCTCTTGCTAGTTTGACTTGGCATTACAAGTTTTATAGCACAACTGCATATGCACTGCAAAGGATAACAGTTGCACCAAAAGCAGGACAAGAAAATGAAACGAGTTACTTTTTTCTATTATTGCCTGTTTATGTTCTTAATTTATATCCTTCTCTTCCAAGCCTGTAAGCAACCCCAGTTAATAATGTCACAATTTTTAGTAGGCCTTTGTTATGTTCTCAGATCTGAAAATAGGCGATTCCAAGTTAATTTTGGTGTCACAATATTATACTTGTCTAGCTGCTGTTTACCTAGATTCTTGTTGGAAACGAGGTATCTTTTTCATTGAATTTTCTCTATTGCCTTGTTTGGTTTTTTATCAAAGCATTGTTTGATATTTTCACTCTTATATTTGATTATCTATCATTTTTTTTTTAATTTCTTTGTTGATATATCTGTCATTTACTTGTTTTTCTTTTGTCAGATTCTATATTATGACCCTGATCTTGGTAGATCACCAATGAATTTCCGTGATGTCTTTCTTCATAGTCAAGCTCTCGAAGGCATGACAATGTCTATGGTAAGTATAAGTCAATAAATGGTTTCTCTAGGATCAATAATAGTTTGTGACAACCAACCAACTATTACTGGCTTATGCTTATGATTTATTGATAAAAAACGGTTGATCAATTTTGATGGTGTTCATTCATAATGCCTTTTCTTGAAGACAATTCAATGATGGCTTTAGTGAGGATCAACCTTAAAAATGCTTATGATGTGGTCGTGAAACTTTTTTCCCTTGTCAACTACCGAGTTTTGCCGTACAACAAGAAGCATTTTATCCTAGACTAGTTGATCTGAACCCCCTAGGGTCCTACGACATTCATGATGTTCTACACACTTCTATCTAAGGCCAACCCTTTGGTATCCCACTCAAATATCTTTTTCACTACTTCTTATATGTAAATATTGACTAACAACTACCTCTTTTAATGACCCACTCTTGGTATACATCGCGCATTTTTAGGTTTACATGGTGAAATTGAGGGAAGGGAGATTGTGGTGGTTTAGGTACGAATGCAGTAGGCAGATGATAGCTAGCACAGGCGAGGAGAGTGAGGAAGAGAGACAAGCTTAAGAGGACGTGGGATGAAGAGTAATCATGAAGTGCATGTGTACTTGTAAATAGTAACAGTGTGTCCTACATCAACTATGATTAGAATAGCTTCTTGCAAGTCATTAGTGGACTACTTTATAACTAGCTATCATAGTTTCTATTTATGAATTTGGGTGGTTATTTGGTCCAACTTGCTGCTTTGGGCTTGTGGTTTCATATTGCACCATGCATAAGGCCTAGAGACCTTTGCACCTAAGATAGAGTTATGTCATAAAACGATTGTAGATTTGGCTTCTGGTGCCTTAATGTTTTTCATTCTTTTTTATGGTAACATCTATGCAGTTTCACCTAAGACTTATTTTGGGTTTTCAGCGGGTAAAGAGTAATCAAACTGAGTATACCATTGGCTCATTACTAGTTGTTTGAAGTTTTGACAAGCCAATTAGCCTTCTCTTGTCCTGTCCAACAAGCACTCAGGATAAGTATCATACAGTTCCAACTGCAACTTATTTTGGGATTTCACCCAGTGAAGAGTCATTGAACTGTGTATGCCAATGGCCGATTGCAATATTCTTGAAAATTTAACAAGCCATTTGACCTTCTCTTCTCCTGCCCAATAAGTACTCGGGGAAAGTAGCAATTTGTTTTTTTTTTCAAATTACTCTCAAGCAAAGGGCAAAACAATGTAGATTTTATTTGTGGACACCATCATACAATCTATAATGTTGTACAATCGACAAATCAATGGCTTTGCAATTTCCTGGGTCATAGAAGATAGAATGGTAGCTTTGATCTTTAAGCTGCACACAGCACCTATCAGTTTGTGTACAGCTATTGGCCTCCATAATGATGTATTTGGTTGAGAAGTTTTCTTCTAATTCTTTTTGTTGTATAAGAATCAGGAAGAAGGTTTGAGGTGAAAATTTTGTTATTTCAATTGTGCATTAAATTACAATTATTTTGTAAAAAGCTACAAGACAAGAATTTGGCTGAGAGGAAAATTTTGTGGAATTTTATGTTTTATATGAAATTAATCAGGAAGCTCTATTACCTTTTCCATACCAAACTCCCATCATTTTATATGAGGTTCCTCTTTATGCTAGTGACTAGTTCATTATGCTTCTTTTTCAATACCACATCAGTTGTTTTGTATTTGCTGATTCATGGAGTTTAACCGCAGGTTCACTCTTTTGTCTGACTCAGATTCTTGGAGCACCGAATGAAGAGGAGCTTTTCTTACTGCATGAAATATTTGGGTAACTATTCTCATTATTTTGCATGGAAACAACCTCTATACTCTTTGGGGTAGGGGACAAATCTGCTTACATGGACATACTGGGTGTGTGGTTTGGTTCATTGTGATTACTTTGGTTTTGTTATTTTTCTTCATATCATGGCTTCTGGAGCCCAATCTATTTATCATTTACCCATAAAGGTTCAGCGTTAGCTAACTGAGATCAATTTGATCAGACAGAATTTTTTTCCAATGCGAAACCTGCAGCGGGTATTAATTGAACTTACCATCTTATTTTTTCTCTTTTTCTGGATGTAGGCTGTGTCTAACAGGAGGGAGGGAAGTCCATAATCTAGTTGTGAAAAGTATACAAGATATGGCTGAAGCATTCTCAGCATATGATGGTGAAATGCTGGTAATATTATCAGTCATGACACTTGCTTTAATAGAATCTATAGGGTTGACTTCTGTATGCCTCATCACTTGTCTCAGGTAAGGAAGGAAGAATTGCTTCAATTTGCTCAAGGTGCAATTACTGGGCTGAAAGTAACTGCTGACATAGCAAGGTGAGTGAGGAAAGAGTCTATTATGGTTTGCATGTGCCTGGTGTACACTTCTACATGATATCTTTCTAGAAATCTACAATGTATCATATTCTTTCTGCATTTTATTTCAATGAAGTGTGTACTTTTCTTATTGAAAGAGAGATACCTGCTTCCTGGATCCATTTTTTTCTTCTTTCCTGAATGGAGCATGTCGATTCAGATTAAATAAATTAAAATTGTAACTGATTACTGGTTATGGATCCTTTGATCTTGTCGTACATCTGTTATTTGCACCAAGCATGAGACCACATGAATGATTGAATAGAGAGCTCCCAGTAAATAATGAGGATTGCCTGCCAAACTGAATCTAAAATTTAAAAAAATTAAAAGAAAATGTCTCTTTATCTAAAGGAGTTTGCTCTTTGTATTGTGAGGACAACAGGAGAAGAAGACCATTGATGAATAGTACAGGTGAGAGGCTTAATTTTTCCATCTTACAATCTTTATCCTAGAAAATGAATCAACGCAAATAATAGAAAACATGGTTCTAATTATCTCCTAGAATAGATTTGGATTTGCAACATTTTCTTTTTTTATCTAAACTATTTGCTGAATGCCTGTTCTTAAGCTATTTTTGTAAACCTGTACTTTTGTACAAGTGCTAACTGTTATTATATCTATTCCCCTGCTCTGTGATCTTCCCTCAGAATAGATTCTGAAATCTCACAAATACAGCAAAGCTTGGATAGAATGAAATGCCAGAAATCTGCAGGCGAGGGCGGTAAAAATTCATCTGAAGCACAAAGTCTTGCATCATTAAAGGTAAGATTGGCAGGACCATAGTTTTTGTGCGGTGTTATCTAACATTATTGTTCAACTTATCTCCATTAAACTAAACAGGATTTTTAATGAACCTTTGACTTGGGTAATTTTTGACGAAAACTTGCAATTACTTTAGCAATATTTGGTGAAAGTTCAATATACTTGGTGGGAATATCAAAGTGCTCCAACACGGTAGGCACTGGCTTAAATAGTCTTTAAAAAAACACACATTCCCTGATGCAGGCTACAAAAGAATCTGTTGCCCACATTCAATTATGCTGCAGATTGAAGTCACTTCTACTAAAGAAAAGATTGTTGAAAAAGGGGGATACACCAGAGACTCATTCTCAGAAAGTAAGGTTCATCTTAATCTTGAGTTTTAATTTCCATGGTAGCCCTTCCTTCTTATTGTTTATGCCCAGTTTTCACCCAAAAATGACGTCAATTTGGTCGTGGACGTCAACTACTGTAGCTTGATTAATTAATGGTTGGTAGCCCAGAACTTAGATCTTATAAGGAACTTACAAATCTGATTTCTATCCATGTGGGATGGGTTGTTACAAACGCTCCCATTTGACGTCCTCATCAGGCCTTCCCAACATCCTTCTTGTTCGTTGGCGATGTGGGATTCACCTAAGATGTTACGACGCCCCCTAGGGACTCATCATGCTTGATGATATATGCCCCACCATCCTCATGGTACAAGGATCGGCTGATACCATTTGTTGCCCCCCATAGCCCAAAGCAGCAAGCTAGCCCAAAAACCTCCAAATCAACTTAAAACCATGGTGGAATTTATTGTAGCCCACAATTTTGAGCTTATAAGGAACTAGAAATCTAATTTTCTGTCATGTGGGACTGGTTGTCACAGACTTACGGTAACAATCCTACAGCAGTTTTCAGGAACTGCAAGATTTTTTAATCAATAGCTGCAGGAACAACTGATTAATGCTATGTTGATTTTTTAATCAAGATTTCTTTTTGGCTGAATCATTATTCTCAATTTCATTCTCTAACTCTGCAACTGAATCAAGAATTTGGCAACATGGTATGAGCATCCCATTTTGTTTGAATGGCAACGAGGAAAAGTTTATGACTTAGACCTGGACATGTCCAAAAGTTCTGAACACATAACAAATTAAGTAACTTAAGTTTTGCAAAAATGAAAATAAAAGGAAACATTTGGGGTTTGAAGGAAAAATGCCTCGTGGTAGAAACCCCTAGGTCACTATTTTAAATAATGATAAAAAGTGCTAGGTGTAGTCAGGAAACAAGATTAGCAAATAAACTTAGGGAAAAGTGATTCTGTTTGATTCTTACTATACCAATGACATTTACTTTTTGTGCATCAAATACGATAAGTAGCTATATGAATGGCTATGTAGAACAAGATTAGCCAACTACTTTAAAGAACACGTGCTTCTATGCATACAGCATACTTATGACACACTAAGTCGGGAAGGAAAAATGTGAACATGCCTGTATTTAGGGACCTTGTGTTTATCAGTACAAAGGAAATGAATTGTTCCTGCTTCACGGGGTGATGCCACGCCGACCAGGGTATTTATACTGCTTAGTCCCTAGTTTTTTGAAGAAATATATTTAGTCTGAGAATCTAATTATTATGCAGGTTCATAAATTAAAACTTCTGTTAGAATCGCTTCATAGTTCGGTCTCCAAAACTGAGAAGCGAATTCTAGAGCATAGGTAATTATTTTACCACTTCTTCAGCCTTCGTATTTATCAACTGCATGGGTCATGAGGAAAAGTTGGATTTTGAGCTTTTCACTACATTTCATACCTTATTTGGCCTTTATTTCCTGCTTCATGTTTTTAGTCCCAACCTTGCTGCACAGGGCTAAAAGATGTAATGTGAAGTTTCTTGATGCTAAGGTGTTAGCTAAATTGCTAAGGGATGTGAGAGATTCACTTGAATTAGGTTGGATATTTTAACAGGCTTTATTTGTCACTCTGGCATATATGAAGGTCCAGTTATGAACATTTACAATCAATAAAAATATATCTTGGGATGGGAGCTTATCATGTGTGCCACGGTTTTCTTTTCTATGTCCTTTAAAGTGTACTCATTTTGGTACCCCAAGGGATGATTAAACTCTAAAAGTGGGTCATTGCTATTATAATCCCAGATTATTGGATTTTTAAAAAAAAAATTACTGGTTAATATGAACCATAGACAGCGCTTATGAAGGGTAAATTAGTGGTTTTCACTTTGAAGTTCTATTAACTTGAACTAAAAAAACAGATGATAAGATCTAGAACTTTGTTTTTGTTTCCGTGTGTGCTCATTTTATCATGAATTTGATTTCTTGATGCAGTGAACCATGGTAATTTATTTTAATATATACTTAATTTTGTCTGTACACTGAACGAGCACAATTTTGTGTTCTACTCTAATTAAATTGATGACTTTTTCTTTACCTCATAATACATCCATCACTGGTGTTGGCAGGGAAGAGAAAAAAGAAGTCCTTACTTTTCGTGTAGCCAGAACTACTGACGTCAGCCAATTTGAGAAGGTAAGTTGGTATTTTGGAAGTCAACTTATATTTGTATTCTATAGCTTCTTCTTACAATAAAGTTTGGCACCTGTACTTGTTCGTCGCATCAATTCTTTGCAGAATATGCAAGTACTTGTTTTCCAGTTCTGGGATTAGCATGCTATTTCACTTTTTTGCAAGTACTTATAAATATATAGTTGCGCGTGATAAGCCAAGGCTATACTACTGAATAATTTGATGCTAAGCCTATACAACTAGACTAATCAACATAATTTATAATAAACCTATCTTCTACTCCTGAACTTGGAGCATATATCTATCATGGCTAACTTGCCAAGCAAAACAAGATTCAATTAGCAAAATAAAATTTAAACTTCAAATAGAACTCTAATATTCAAAACTTGAACAAGCTTGTTTCTTTCAGATATTTGGATTACACATAGAAGTAGTCAACAATCATCTCCATGGGAAAATTTGCACTCGTGGGTGTCCGTGAATCTACTAGTCATGCCTTTGTTGGAAGTATCAGGAGTGTAGGAAAAAACCAAGCGAAAGAAATGCAAGCACCCAAAACACTAGGCAACAGAACCAGACCCAGTATCCAAACAGCACAGTCAAGCAAATACAAGTGCCAAATTGTAGTAGTCTAATAGATACTAAACAGAGTGTTCCAAGCAACAGAAAAGGTCCCGTAGAAGCCAAGCAAAACAGGATAGTCAACCAATGATCAGCTTCCTGCCCCACCTGCTGACTTCATTTTACCAGATAGGATCTCTTTGCAGTCTGTTGATACCAGAGTTTAGAGATGTTAGATTGAAGATGATGAAATTGGATGTCTGCTTAAAGATGATGAAATTGGATGTCTGCTTAAAGATGATAAACTACTTTAACAGCTGGTTTCTACATGATGCAGTTCTTTTAGGACACCCAGGGAACCACACCCAAGGGATCGAAACTGTTACCCCCTGGGCATTGACAGTTTGATACACCCTAGTATGTGATGGATTGATGCGCATGGGCTAACTACGGAACGTCTGCCAATGGAGAAGAAAATAGTGTAATTGGAATGGTAGCATGCAGATCGACAAGGTCTGAAACATTTTGAGGGCAGCTATGAACGCAACAGATTGGGATTAAAAAATAGTAATAATAATGGTAGGCTTGATGGGCCTAGACTAGAACACCAATATAAACTTATACCAAGTAAAGTATAAATGCCATAGACAATGAACTTAGAGCACCCACAATGGTGCTTGTTGTGAGTTTCGCTGCATCCACTTGGCCTTCTTAATGCGGTTCATCAAAAACAAAAATGAGTATGTATGGCCATCTCATTAATATGGACTGCTCCGTGAGAATGCAACGTGTTATAAAATAATAAGTATAAAACAAAATAAATTTATTGGTAAATGTTTAATTAATTAATTATGTTAGTTTTATTGTTTTAGGTTTATTTTTATTTAATAAAGCTACTTTAGTGAACATAATTTTTACAATAATTTTTATATTAATCAACATAGTTGTCTTCAATATTATCCTAAAAAACATTTTTTGCAATAATTATTAAATTGTATATATCATAAATAGTATAAATTATGTTTGTTTTGAATTTATATTTAAAAGAATAAAATTAAGCGGGGCCCATTTATGAAATTGAAACTGATATATGATTGTGGGGTTGTTTATGAAATAAGAGGTTCATAGAATGCTGACATGACATGACAGAAAAATGATGTGACAATATTATGACACAGTCGAATGTTTCATCACTATGGGTGCTCTTAGTTTCTAAGATTTTAATCAAACATATAATTAACTATGTTGCTAATGAATCGGAATATAATTGATACTACAAATTGAAGCTTAATTCATAGCTATGCTGTTATATCGGTCATAATACAAAATATCGGTCAGGACCGATATTCGATATATCGGTTAATATCGGTGATATATCGGTCCAAAATAGCGGTTAACATAATATTTCTTAGAATTATATATATAATATGCATTAATTAGAGTTTAGAAATATAGTTTCAAAATTAAAACATCACATCATCTAAAGTGTTCAAAAACGAGCTAATCGCAAGCAATAGGTTCGGCATCCGAGAAAAGAAGCCAAACCGTGACTCCGTGAGAAGTCTGAAGTTGTGAGAAGTCTGAAGTCGTGATTCGTGAAGTGAACTAGGTGTCTGTGAAGTGTGAAGTTGTAACTCGTAAAGATGAAAAGAAAGGAAGAAGACCGTTGGAAGGCAGACTATTAATTTCAGACCTAATAATATATGTTACCAAGTCCAAAAAACTAAGCCCATAAAATAACAAAATCCCAAATAATTGAACCCTAAAAATTGATATATCGGTCCGATATATACATCAAAATATCGGGAAAAATCGGAAAATATCGCCGATAATATCGGGGACGATATTTTGACCGATATTTATGCAGCAATATTTTGCCTAGGTCCGGATATATCGCCGATATATCGGCGATATATCGCGATATTAACAGCATAGCTTCATAGATGCTTACTTCCACATAAAGTATTAAATCCCTACCAAAGGGTCATTGGCTCAACGGCATGTGGGTTAACAGTAGATCCCAATCTCTTAACCACAAAAGGCGAAGAGTGTGTGTCAGTTTGCTGTATATAAGGATCCAAAAAGGGTATTAAATTCCACATTAAATCTAGAGAATTATTGTCATGATATACTGAATCTTCTATCATTTTGGAATTTAATCTTTTTTCATCAATATATTGCATGCCGAAGTTTAACTGATAACAAATAACAAAAGAAGAAAACAAGAAGTACAACTCATCAATCCTCTCGAGGGAAGTCCTAACCATGGTTCCATCGGTGACTTTCTGGTTTGTTATTTTACAGTTCCCTAATCTAATGCTTGCTTTGAAGATCAAAAAGATATGTGATGTCCATTACCTTGCAAACATCATGGTGTTTTTCATGGTTAGAACTTTGGATAGCTGAATATCATGGTGTTTTCCAGGACTTGGAAGCTGAAATTAGTTTGCTTGAAGAGCAAAGAGACAAACTTGAAGCTGAATTGGGAAAGGTAGACTCCTTTCCTTTAAATGGTATTTTTCAAATCATGCTAAGAGGTGATAACTTACTATTGGCTAAATTTTAATTTCGACTTTATGCTACGCTTGGAATTACTAGCTCAAGAAAATTAAACTGTTGACATCGTTCTTGATAGATTAAGATATCTAATAGCATTACTTCACAGCATTCTGATAATATAATAATCAGAACACAGTTACCGTCTTTACGATCTCTCCCTCTATTAGAATGTGTATGGTATCCGGACAGGTAAGCACAGAATAGAACAAGACAGAAGAAAAAAACCGTTTAGCGTTTGATAAGACAAAATTGGAGAGGACATAACAGATAAAGATAAATGCACAATTTACCCCTAATAACTTGTTTAAATCTTTTGATTAATTTATTAAATTATAATAAAATAAATGTGTTTCATAACAAAATATATTATTCGAATGTTTTCGTCAAGACGATAAAAATGACACCACAATAAAAAGTTCATGTAGCATCCATTTTTTATACCTTTTCTATATTAACTTTATATTATTAAATATTTAATAAATTATATAAATTAACCAAAATATAGAAAACATATAAAATAATATTTTGAGGACAGTGAAATGAAAGTTTAAAGAGCATAAAATACCATAAGTAAAATTTAAAGAATGAATAAAATGTAAAGAGGGAGGTGTATTTGAAGTTTCATAAGAGAATTAAGTTTTATTTTGAGGTTATATTGGTAAATAGGTCTATTCCACCTTGTTCCATGGGGTGGGGGTGGAACATGCCTGTTCCACTTTGTTCCTGTATGTTCCACATCAAAGTCCAGCCAAATGTGGAACAATGATCCCTGTTATGTCCTGTCCAGCGTACCAAACGCACCCTTAGCGATCACTATATTAGCTAGATTATTTTTTTATGAATCACAATGTTCAATCAATGGGGAAGAAAAAGATACTAATAAGCATCATTATTACAATATTACGTCTGATTAGGCTGCCTGTTTAGGTTAATAACACATTGGCTGTTGCAATTACCCGTCTCCAAAATGCCAGGGAAGAGAGGTTACAGTTTGACGAAGATAATAATGAGTTTCTTCTACTCTTAAAGGCAAAGGTCGGATTTTCTTAGCCTAATATCATTTAAGGTATATCAAACATTTAGTATTTCTTCAGGCATATTATAGCTCTTTGTGATACCCTTATATAAATGATATTATATAGGAAGATGAACTCTCAAACACAATTGTTTCGTATAAAGCAGAGGCAGATACTTGTAATGCATTTATTAATTTTCTGGAAGCTACTTGGGCTTTCCAGTCCTCCTATGTGGAGCAGAGGGACAAGCAGGTCAAGTATGTTCTCAATTATTATGCAAGTTTTTCGTACTATTCAGTTTGGATTTTGTTGTGCTTTTAGTCTATCATGCATCATCTGACGAACTTCATGATTATGATTCTATTCTGGCATGTTAAAGTGATCAATTGGAGAATCATGAAGCATACCTTATAAATGTGGCTAGTAGTTTTTTATCTACTTATAAGGTATTCATGCACTTGTGGCCGTTACCGATTAAGACGAAGGATCGTGTGAGAATAAGAGTTAAGGTGAAAAGTGTAGGAAGGAATTTGGACCCTTGATCACTTTTAATCTCAAACCAACCCATGAATTACGCTTTAGAAGGGAATTGATCCGGTGCTTTTCATTAGTGTTGATCTAGTGGAACTCTTCGATTAGGATTGATCCAAGGGTGGAGGTCTGTTCTTACACTTCTCATCATAACTCTCATTCTCACCGGAACCCTACCCTACCGATTAAATTCACTTTTATCTGCCATGTCGTTATATTTGCATCTTACTGCTTTGGTATCTGTAAATCTTTTTAGGAGCAACTGGAGCCTGCTATCGCCAAATTGAAGAAGCTGTGGGAGGACTTGAAAGGGTACATTGTGACTGGTTTATCGTACTCTCTGTCCATTAGAAGTGTCCTAATCTAAAGAATCCTTCATCGAGAGGACTGCTGAATGTCAACTTCTATATTTTTAGTGGCATTTTTACACTGCACATTTCAAACACACAAAGCATGTGTTCGTGTATCTTGCAGCCCTATCAAAGTGCTTTTGTATTTACATTTGGGTAAAATGCATCAAAATGCAACGAAGTTCGCGTTAGTTCCTATTTAATGCAACAACTTTTTTCTCCATCAATGTAACGAAGTCTTAAAATATCCTATTTAATGTAACAAAGTTTCTACATTTCCTATTTTTTCTAAATTTTGACCCTAACCTGCTGACCTTGTAACATTTGATGACATAGGTGTCAAGTTCATTGCCTACTTCGCCATAACCCTTTCTTAAACGGGTATCCATGTCACCAGATGTTACAAGATTAGCAGGTTACCGGTCATAATGGGCACAAAATAAGAAATTTTGATACTTCATTACGTCGATTGAGAAAAAAATCTTCGGTACACTAAATAGGAAGTAAACCAAAATTTATTGCATTTTGATGCATTTTCCTTTTACATATTCATTGGGTGTAGATAGGAGAAAGAATGTGTATAACAAATATTAGATTGTGCTTAGAGTTTTGGTCTGTGGTAGGTATGAGAAAACAATCGATCCAGATGTGGAATTTTTGCAAGATATAAGACGAAGGGTAATTCTTGAGCAGGAATATATGGATGCAGAAGCCAAGGTATGCTTACACCTCCGCATTTAAAATTGCAACTTGTAGGTTCTTAATTAAAATTGTGAACATCTTATCAATGGTACTTGTCTTGAATTTACTTGCCCGAATAGACTTGTCGGCGCAAAAACTTCATAAGTTGGCCTTTCTATGTGCTCTTTTTGATGGTCATTGTTAAAAGTTACAACTGGTTTCATTATTTGAATCATATCTTACATTATCGGTTGAATCTTGCAGGTTATCAACATCTTTGATGCAGTGGAGAGCATTAAAGAGCACTTTTACGGTGCAATCGATGATGCCTCTATGTAAGTTGAATCTTTTAGGTTGTTGATTCTAGTCTTGTTTCTGAATCTACTGACTTCAATTTAAAAGCGAGCCCATTTTCATTCTCTAAGCAATGAGGCATGATCATGATAATAATGGTCGAGTAGCAACTGAAAATCAGCCAAGTTACGGGCTGTTTGGTTGGTTTTCTATCAAGTCCTGTATAGAAAAAATTGTTGTATAGATTGAGAAGGTTTTTGTTTGGGAGGGTTTTTTCATAGATGAAAGGAGCATGTTTTTTTTAATTGGGAGGGACAGGTTTGGAGAAAACTTGGCTTTCTGCATAAAACTCCCTCTAGAAGCTTAGTGAATAAACCACTTTCTATATCATTAAGTCACTACCAAACAATCATGTATAGTTGAGTTGACCAAATAAGTTGCGAGTCCATCAAGCTCTTTAAGCTGCTAACAAACATGCCCTTAGTACTTTTATCATATGACACCTTTTATGTCATGAACATGGAAAAATAAATGGGTACATGTGACTTTTTCTTTGCCAGGTGTGGGTTGGGGGAGAGAGGGAAATGCATGGAGCATGTTTTAGTTTCTTTTACTGTTGATGTTTACCAAGCCCCTCTTACCAGTTCATGATGCTGACCTGGTAAGCTAAAGGAAAGACTCTTAGGGGCCATTTACCAAACGCTTACAGACAAGAGTCACCATATTCACTTACCTTAGTGGGTAATAACTTCAGCCATTAAAATGGATTGTTTGTAAGCGGCTTTTACCCGGGAAGCGCTTACCAGGTAAGAGTCTTCTCTCTCACATACCTGGTAAGTTTTTGGGCCTTGCATGCTCACCCTGTAAAGGAAAATGACACGTGGTAAGCGGCTTACCCGGTAAGAGTTTGGTAAATTACCCCTTACTCGGTCCGTGATTAGTTTTGACCTGGACCACAATCTTACCTGGTTTAGTGCTTACCCACTTTGGTGTAAACAACCCCTTAACGTGCGTTTGGTATCCAAGCAGGATAGAATATGACAGAACATGATAAAATAGTTGTTCAGCGTTTGGTAAGACAGAACTGGACATGACAAGACAGATAACATGACCAATTTACTCCTAATGCATTGTTTATATATTATGTAAATTTTGATTAAAATGTAATTTATTAAATTATAATAAAAATAAGTATTTTATATAACAAAAGATATCATTAAAAAGTTTTGGTCAAGACAATTAAAATGACACCAAAATTATGTAGTTTTCCAATTTTTGTTATATACCTTTTCTATATTATTTTTTATCAGTGATATTTAATAAATTACATAAATTAATCAAAATATAGAAACCATATAAAAACAATAGTTCAAGGAAAGTAAAGTGAAAGTTTAAAAGGCATAAAATACAATAAATACAATTTAAAAAATGAATAAAATATAAAGAGGAAGGCATATTTTGATGTTTTATAACATAATTAAGTTTTATTTTGAGGTTATATTGGTAAAACATAAGTCTGCTCCAGCTTGTTTCATTGGGTGTTTCACATAAAAGTCATGCCAAACGTGGAACAGTGATCCCTCTTCTGTCTTGTCATGTATAGTGTACCTTAATGTTGAACAAGGAGTGGTGTCATAGTGGTCATGCTAGCTTTATGGTTTCTTACCTTCTAATCATCAAATATGTTGAACTTCTGGCCAGGGAAGGTGTTAAAGTGGTTGGGGAGTTATGTGGTGCCATTGAGAAGATGAAAGGTGACTTCAAAACCATCAAAAGACCAAATCTGAGAATCGAGAGCCCGCCCGAGGAAGAAGAGCCCCCAGCAACAGCAAGTCCCCAAGGACTCGTACTTTCACCTGGACTCGTCATGCCAGATTTTAAGTCGATTTTTTCTCAGAAATTGATGATCAAATCTCCTAAACAAAAACCATACATACCCTTAGGTGGCCTTTCAGAAAACCATCCGTCTTCAACCACGGAGAACGATACAAAGTCGGCGGAAAGCGAACAACATAAAACGAAAGTCAAAGAGTCCGAAAAGCCATCACACCCTGATAAAGATGCATCAAATCTCACCTTAGAATTTGAGAATGAGACTACAGGACAAAAATCAAGAGCCAAAAGTGATCAAGGAGAACCGGAGAAAATGTCATCGGGTCTTGATGAAGAGAGTAGGAGGCAAAGTAAAATGCATCAACATCCTGCATTAGACCCTGTAGAAGGTTCAGATGCTCTCGTATCTGTATTTTTCCCTTTCACACACTTTTCACTAGCCAGGTGTTTCACGAAAACAGCCGCTCTATCTTAAAAGAGTAGAGGTCAGGTATGCCTACATCTTTCACCCCCTACAGGATCTCACCTCCGGGTCAGATATATTGGGCTCGTTTGGTTTGGTATAATTTATTCTGCATTAGACCCTGACATAGAATTAGGAAAGTCGGTCTTAGTAACAGAAACTAGTATGAAAACATCTGAACCTTCTACAGGTAATGGCGAAAATTTACTTCACTCGAATGACGGAATACCCAAAGTGACCTTGGCAGCAGAAGCCGCTACATCAGAACCTGTGCTTGACAAGACGTCCCAACTTACAACAGGCAATGGCAAAAGATCGGTAGAGCCTGATGAGCAACCGCCAAAATCAACCTCACGAAGTGAGGAGCAAGGTAAGGTCCCAACAGAAGAAGTTGTCCAGAAATCCGTCAAACTTGTGAACGAGCTGAAAGATGACAATTTATCGTCATAAAAAGTGTTGAAATTAGCTCCGGTGAGTCGAAGATCTTTCGGTTTGTGTCACCCCCTATCGGTTATGAATTCGAATTACAGGTATTATTTATAAGTCTTCAGTATTGTGTTAAACAACCGCTTTATTCTTTGCGGTGGAGAACTTGCATACATCCAAGCACTTGGAATTCGTTGGTTCGGCTTGGTTTGGTTTTCTATTGGGTTACTGATCATTTCCATTTATATAGATTTTCTTTAAGATTATTATGTTCATTTTGAAGCTTAATCTGTTCATGAGCATCCTTGTTGATTTCTTTTCGTCCCTGATCGTTCAAAATTGTTGTTTTTTGACAGTTACAGTTAGTCTCGGGACGAAAGCCAAAATGAATTGAAACCACACTGACGAAAACCGTAATTTCAATAAACCATGAATAAAATGAATTAATTTTCATTCCTCTTATATTATATCAAAATTAAACAGTTCTTTTATATTTAATCCGATCAAATACTATTTAATACGTCTAATCTCATATTAAAGTGATTAATACTAATGTGTGTTGAATCTAAATAGTCGTGGATTCAAGATCTCTAATCTGAACATGTAATCTTATACGGCTTTTTTTCAAAAAGTAAAAAACCAAACTCTCTTTAAATTAACGGACTTTTTTAACAGAGGTTAGTCAGAGGGACCAGTTATAAAACAATATGAGAACCAAGAGGTCAAAAATGTAAGTTACTCTTATAAAATGTTTATAGGTCAATATTATCCGAAGTACACTTAAGAAAAAAATTCTCTTGTTGTCATGTTTATTTAGGGATGGTATTTAGAGTTTTCTCAAACTACAAGGACTAAAAATGTAATTAAATTTTGTCGAGTGTGTGCGTTTTAAGTGTGTCGGTGTGTGAAAATTAAATGCTTTCCCGATATTTCTGCTAAAACGTACGGCATCAATGGGGAACCATTATTCCGCCGGCCGGCACCACAGACGAAACCGTACCGATAGCGAAACGGTGGTTTCACATCCGGACTATAAGTACGGACCTTCACCATACAACGCACCACAAATTCCGGCGAACTCTAACAAAATGGCTGCACTCTCACTTCCGTACGCGAACGTCGACTGTAACTTACGAGCTCTCGCTGGACAAGCTGAGGGATTTGGCCGCTTAGCCGTCGGTGGACTTCATGGATCAGTCTATCATGTTACTACTCTGTCAGGTATAGCATCGTAATTAGTCATCGGAATTAGGGATTTGTGATATGAAATACATATTATCCATGAACGTAGAAGCTGCTGAGTTCATGGATCGATCCAATGGCTTGAGGTGGAAATCACAGGTTTAATACCGGTATTCTACTTATTGAGCCGCTATATTGTAATTGACGTCACAAAATTGTGGATGTTTTGTTAGGAGTAATCAATCATAAGTAGAAATATGTATATATTCATGTAAATAAATTTGCAGAAAATGGAAATATTCTAATACAAGTTTACGAAACGCACATAAAACAACAAGAAGAATTGATAGAATTCTAGAATCTTACTAGTAATTTGCTGGTTCTTGGTTACCGAACACGGATCGTAGGATGGACCTGTAATTTTTTTTTTTATAACTATAAGAAACAAATATATGGAATTTATTTCAAACGGTGACACCATTTGACTAAAAAAATGAAAATGACACAAATAAAACTCGAACTTGGGTCTGGAATGGAATAAAAGCAAAGCCTTGCAAACCAACTCTATCAAATAAAACTTGTTCTCGTGCACCTTTCACGAACCTAAATTTTTTTACCCTTCGACGGAGGAATAATACGGTGGCACGTGCCACTGTATGCACCAGTATAGGTCCGTCCATGACGGATTGAGGCCTGCACCAATGCAGTGTCCTAAGACAAAAATTTGTGGGTAGTATTGGCTAGAGGATACAACAATCGAGTTCAAGTTACAACTTGAATCTAGCAAATTAAGATATGTTTGGTGATGGAATTTGTAGAGAAAAATGAGAGAAACGAGAGGGAGAATAGTCACTTTTCTGCCCAGAATCGTCTAATATATATATACCTTTCCTCCTTTAACTGCCTGGTGTGAACAGTGAGTTGCTCGACTTGGCGCGCGGCAAAACCCGCGTAAGCCACTGTTTCCGAACAAAAATTCCAGAGAGATAGGTGACTCTCTGCATAAGCTTAAAGCCCATCTTTTGACCAAGACATATATTTATATATATGTATGAAGTCCACCATGAACACCCACACACCAAGACCCAACCCACGCTTTTAAATGATTCATTTAATGATCAAGGGTTGGTCCTTATTATATGGGTACAGTTTTCATGAGCCTGCTATAAATCAAGTTCCAACATGTTTTGGAAGATCTTTTGATTTGTGGCTTTCCAGTTATATGATGTAAAGATCTTTTGAACTTTGTTGTAGATGATGGCCCTGGGTCACTTCGTTATGGATGTCGCAAAAAAGAACCTTTGTGGATTGTTTTTGATATTTCGGGCACCATTGGGCTCTCGTCTTATTTGAATGTATCTTCTTATAAGACAGTCGATGGGCGGGGACAAAGGATTAAGCTCACTGGCAAGGGACTGAGGCTGAAAGAATGTGAACACGTAATTATATGCAATTTAGAGTTTGAAGGAGGTAGAGGACCTGATGTAGATGGCATTCAAATCAAACCTAATTCAAAGCATATATGGATTGATCGTTGTAGTCTTAAGGATTATGATGATGGGCTGATTGATATTACCCGTGAGAGCACAGATATCACTATTTCGCGGTGAGCTACTTACTCTCACCTCGTAGCCATTCCTCTCCACTCTCACCAAAAATCACTACCTCTGCAAGTGTCTGTGTTGACAAAATCAATGGCTATTTCAGTCATTTCCCTTAAGAGATGAATTTGGTCGGCCAAAATGGCTACTTTTGTTAGTTCCCCTATTATTTGTTTACATGTATTTGACCAAGCTTCTAATCTTGTGCATTTAGTTGTCACTTTTCAAACCATGATAAGACGATGCTTATTGGAGCAGACCCTTCTCACCATGGTGACCGATGTATGCGTGTTACCATTCACCATTGTTTCTTTGACGGAACTAGGCAACGACATCCTCGTGTTAGGTTTGCCAAAGTACATCTGTATAACAATTACACCAGAAATTGGGGGATTTATGCGGTCTGTGCCAGTGTTGAATCACAGGTTGAATTACTACAGAAACTTCGGTTTTTCCCTTTTTTTCCTTCCTTGACTCTTACATGGTTGTTTGTATGACATTTGACATATATAGTTACCATTAGAGTTGACCTTTTCCTTGCAGATATACTCCCAGTGCAATATATATGAAGCAGCACAGAAAAAAGTGGCTTTTAAATATCTAACTGAAAAGGTAAAACTACTCTCTTCATGTTCTCTTGCATACCACTGCCAAGCAAGAGCTTTATGGTGCTTTTGGTATCCAGATAGGATAAGAAAAAACAACTGTTTAGTGCTTGGTAAGACAGAACTGGACAGAACAGATAAAATGACCAATTTACCCCTATATCTTATGATTAATTTGTGTAGTTTATTAAGTTACAATAAAATAAATATTCTTTATAACAAAATATATCATTGAATTAGTTTTCGTCAAGATGATTAAAATGATGCCAAAATAAAAAGTTTATGTATTTTTCAGTTTTTATCTTTTACTTTTTCTATATTATTTTATTATTATTAATAACATAAATTAATCAAAATATAAAACCGTATAAAAATAATATTTTGAGGTCGATGAAGGTTTAAAGAGCATAAATTACAATAAATAAAATTAAAAGAATGAATAGAATGTAAAGAGGGAGGCTTATTTGATCTTTAGAAGAGAATTAGATTCTATTTTGAGGTTATATTGTTAAAATATAGGTATGTGCTACCTTATTCCATGGGGGCGGGTGCAACATGCTTGTTCCACTTCGAGGGGCATTTTGGCTCAATAGCAGGGTCCTAATCGAACCCATGACCTGTCTTGTATTTGGGCAAAGTCACCCTACCACTTTTATCCCTCATATGTTTAGCAATTATAATGTTTTAGGCTTTTATTCAGTTAGCCGATTTGGCATACGAATTTTTATGTTCTGTTTCATTTATTACTCGTTAGTTGATCTATAGTCTTGTTTACTTGGTAGAGGTGTAATAGGGGATGTTAATGGTTAACCATTTTGGAACTTAATGTTGCTGTATGATTCATTAGGCTGGTGACAAAGAAGAGGCATGTAGTGGGTGCATTATATCTGAAGGAGACCTATTTATAGCTGGAACTCAGGCTGGCTTATTGACACAGAGTAGTTGCTCATTCCACCCAAGCCAACACTACCAAAAATGGACAATACAGCCTGCAACTATGGAGCTTAAACATGTTCTCCAGCATTTTACAGGATGGCAACCTGTTGCATGCCCTGCTGATCACCCACCATCCCACTAGTTTCATCCTCAAGCAGGTATGAAAATGTTTATATTAAATACTTTATTCATAATGAATATATATAATATTCATGATGAAGATGTATTATATGAATTATAAAGATGCGTATATGATGAGGAAATTGACCAAAATAGCCATTTTTCCAACCAAATTCACTTTTTAGCCATTTCATCAACCGAATTCCCGTTTTAGGATTAAATTCCTTTTTGTGTAAACTCGATTTTTGGATTAAATTATTTTTGTGTAATTTGCGTGAAGTGTTTTTCTTCTTTTTTTAAATCTGAAAATAGACTTTACGCACGTCATTTGTGTAAACTCCTGCTATAATGGGAATTCGGTTCCAAAAGTGGCTAAAAAGTGAATTTGGTTGGAGAGATGGGCTATTTTGGTCAATTTCCCTAAATGATAACTTGAGATTATGTGAGACACGTCAACTTTCGTGAGACAAATTGTGAGCCCATGGGTGATTTTTTCTTTTATCTTGTCAAACCTTCACATGAAAAACACATCAAACCTTCATGGGAAGCGAACACAAAACCTCCACAATGTGTCTCATGAAAAAGTGGTGGGTCTCGTGGGAACCCAATCATATGTGTGAATATGTGTATCTAAATACCTTGAGGCGTTTGGTTTGATGAAATTGATTTTGAGGGATTTGCATTTCATGGAAGGATTTGGATTTGGAACGGACAGGAATTTTTGGTGTGTTTGGTTTGTAGGATTTGGAATGGAATTGAATTCCATAATTTATAAAAACAAATTCTAAATAATTAAATTACCTTTTTATCAATTGATTATTATAAAACAACTATCTTCAAACATCATTACACACAAATCCTACAAAATCAATGCGAAATACCAACAACTCCTATAGGATTTCTAAGTCCCATTTTGTGGGATTTCATTCCACCAATCCCGACATGCAATTGGAATGGAATTGAATTCCAAATCCTATTTTATCCTACAACGGTGCATAAAAGATAGATTGTGGAAGATTTCTATGTGTGTATCCATCTAGTGGGCCATTGTCATCTAAGACAAAAGGGTTCTATGGTCCCATGCTCTCGAGCACATTCATCGCACTGGTCCTATGGTCATCAATGGATGACGTAAATCAGTGCAGGCATCCCATTGGGGGCTTGAACTTAGGAGCTCACTTGTATGGATTATAACCACACCACTACGAACTTTTTACTTGGGATGAGATTACTGGGTTTAGACCTTATATTACAAATTTATTCTACACCTCTCACTATTTTTGGTATTTCAATAGGGGCAGGATGGTCACATCTCATATACATGTGTGTGTGTGTGTCGGAAAGAAATTATCCAATATAGAGTGTCATTATTGGAGTAATATGTTACGGTTTGTATGTGTAAATTTACCTCGTATTCTATCCATACCCCTCTTATTTTAGCCTACTCTTTTTTTGGTATACATTTTCTTTCATATTTTCTGTTTTAATCCTTGAACTTTTTTGATTTAATATTTGTATTCTTTTTTATGTTATTATATAACCCCCATTACTTTTTATTTTTATTTTTTTATTTGTTATTAATTAATTAATTATCTATATTATATTATAAAGCATTTGACAAAAACTTTTAAAAACTATTTTTTATGTGTAAAACTGTTTATTAATGCATATTACTTAACTCAAGATTACAAGTAGATTGTGCGTAAGTATAACTTATTAAAGTTTCATATCTGAATTCGTGCAACTAATTGTAGATAAACATAATCAAATACATGATAAACATCTCATTTTAAATATAAAAAATCTAAAATATAATTA